CTCAGGTAGTATAATCTCTGCTGGGCCCTTTTGACCAGGGCTGCAATGTGAACCACCCTGGTCAGGTCCTCTTTTAGGGTAACACCCAGAAACCTAAAACTGGCCACTTGCTCCACTTGATCTCTATGGATAAGCAAGGGCTGGAGGTCTGATCTGTTCCTTCTGTAGTCCACTATCAGCTCCTTGGTCTTATTGGTGTTGAAGACCAAGTTATTGTCTCCACACCACGAAAGCAACCGGTCCACCTCATCTCGGTAGGCAGACTCGTCCTCCCCTGTTGTATCATCTGAAAATTTAGTAGTAGTATTACTCGCGTGAGTGAGAATGCAGTCATGCCCATAAAGAGTATAGAGTAAGGGACGCAACACACAACCCTGTGGTGTACCAGTAACAGTGTACCTTCTGACGAGTAAAGTCAACAGGGAAGCCCAATTCCCCTAATGCCTTAACAACTGCCGCGATTCACTTACTAACCGTGGCAAGAAAGGTCGTAAAACGGAGCAAAACTCATGGAACAAATGTTTCGTTTAGCAACAGAAAGTGTTGGGTTCCCTCCGTGGTCGTAAGTCTAGGACTTACCTGTAATTACGAAGGGGATTCTTAAGATCTGAAATGGAAGTCAGGAACGCTGTCGAAATTGGAGAGAGGATTATTTGTCAGCTGATGTTTTGTTTGTTGCTTTCTTCAGCTTTGTGAGAAGATCACGCCGAGAGACAAATACGACGAAAACAGCGTCCTTTTAGAAGTCACATCTGGCAGGACGACGGGAGGTGAGGCAAAAATATCATGACTTCAATGTTATTCTAAATTGAATTCCCGGCTTTGCGGAATTGATTTATTTTGTTGCATTCTTCACTTTTCCTCAGGTTTTTTCTTCTTTGCAATACATTTTTAATTTTTCCTTTCTTCTACAAACGTATCTGTCAGGTTTCCAAGTGATGAAATCCATTTTTTTTTAAAAAAGAGCAAAGTCCATCTTCTAAAACAAATTCTTTTATTTAGGAAAGCATCGAATTGGCAAGGTCTGTTGTAATTTCGGATCTGGCACAACCCACAATTACATCACATAATCCTGGAAATTAGAAACAGCCCCCAAAAGTCACATTCCCCAATAGAAGTAAATCAACGTGGCCTGGTGTCATTAATTTCCACCTCCAAGTCTCAGCAGGGTCAGCTTTCGTTCCCACGGGAAGGAGAACCACTTAGCCTAAACAATCTCTCTATTTCCACTCCTCCCCCCTTAGGAATGTGGCATGCCCGAAACCCCTCTCCCCATAACCGGCAAAGAGAAAGAAAGAAAAGGAATATATAATAAGGCTAAATAAATGGCTATGCATATGTCAATTTCGGGCTTGACAATATCATTGTGTGAACAATGTGGTTACAGGATATTTTACATTTTAGAACAAACATGACAATGATTTCATATTGAAACTGTCATCTTGATAATTGATAGTCATACAAATTATCTATCCTGATTATTCCAAATTCCCATATGCTATTTTGATGTCAATCTCTATATTCTTAACATCACTTCTTTTATTATGGTGACCCGGGACGTGGCACAAAGGCAACCCAGTCAGATAATCCGTAGGAGTCCCTTTATTAGCTCCAACTTTGCCCCCAATGTCCTGGTTACCTTCTGGGCTGGAGAAAAATTCTCCCAGGAACAGCCTTTGGCTGCAGAGGATCAAGTCCAAAACATGGTCAACAAAAACTATAACTATAAGTCCAATCAAGGCAAAATGAGGTAATTAGTCCGGCAGGGCAGGAGGAGGAATTCCAGATGTGAAAGGCATGGTAGTAACTCAACATGATTGGGAAGATGCCAGGAACACAGATAAGCAAAGTCAACACAAGATAAACTTACATTTGCTCCCAGCAGATGCCGCACTCAGTTTGCATCTCTTTTAAACTCTCATTCCCAGGTGTGGCTAATTAAGGGAATCAGGGCCCTTTCCTCCCCCTTAAGCCACACAACCCACCAGGGGTTGCGGCAGCTTGGAAACCAAAAGTGCATTCCATAAATGTTTTCAAAGATAGTAACTAGGTGACTGAAGTTTCTGCCGCGCAATATCTCACTGGAGAGCATGATTGATGACTCTGGGCTATGGATGTGTCCCATTGGAGAAAAATCCACGGGGTGGGGGAAAACCAGGTTCAAGGGTGACAATGAGTCGGCTACACCCAGGCAGTGCCGGACATGTTATCTCCCAATAAATCCTTTTGAAGTTTTGGAAGTTTGGCTCGAGGCTCATGATTTAATTGGGGTAACTGCTGGAATCCTGACACACGGTCATAAGTCTCTCTTTTCAGTGACATGGTTACTTCAAACGGTTGTAAGTCGAGGACAGCCTGCCTTGTCCTTTTTCGGGCTTGCAAGCTCTGGATTAAAAATATTGTTCAGACGGATATTTCGGAGGAATTTTTATGTTTCAGGCGACATTTGCCAGCAATTCACGAGAGAAGTCTTCGACATGTACCAGAATTACGCAGAATACAAAGGCTGGACTTTTGAAATGACCAAGTACTGCCGAGCTGAGACGGGTAGGAGAAGCCCCTCACCCGGATATCTCCATGGGGGGGGGCCTCCCCCCACTTTCCTCCCGCCCCAAATGAAAGAGTTTTGCATTTTTCAGGGGGGCTCCACCATGCAGCGGCTCGGATCTTGGGAAGCCACGTCTACAAACGCTTGAAGTTTGAAGGAGGAACCCACCGGGTCCAGCGGATCCCTCAGACTGGATTGTCTTCGAGAATGCAGCGGATCCACACTGGCACCATGACGGTCATCGTCCTCCCTCTGTCTGAGGAGGTAGCCAGTTTCTTCACAGCTTTTAATTCTCTCTCTGTGCCTGTCTGTCTCCCGCTCTCTATCTCTCTTTGTCTCTCTCTGTTTGTCTGTCTTTCTCTCTGTGTCTCTCCCTCTCTGTCTTTATCTCTCTTTGTCTTTCTGTGTCTCTCTCTCTCTGTTTCTATCTGTCTTTCTCTCTCTTTGTCTTTCTGTCTATCTCTGTCTCTGTCTTTCTCTCTTTGTCTATGTCTCTCTCTTTCTCTCTTTCTCTCTATCTCTGTTTCTCTCTGTCTTTCTCTGTCTCTTTCTCTCTGTTCCTTTCTCTCTATCTCCATTTGTTGAATGCCACATGTAAGTTAGCAGCAAATCGATTATTTCCATAGCTGTGACTCTATCTTGCAAGATACTTCAAACGTTTCCATCTTTTAGAAGGAGAGATTCCATATATACCTGTTGCTGGATCTCCTTTTTCCCTCTCCCTTTATCCTTCCTCCCTATTTTCCTTTCATCCCTACTTTTCTGTATCCATCTTCTTGTCTTATCTTGTCCTTCCTCCCCCCTTCCCTTCCCTCCCTCTCCTTCCTTCTTTCCTTCCTTCCTTCCTCCCTCTTTCCTTCCTTCCCTCGCACTCCTTCCTTCCTCCTTCTTTCCTTCCTTCCCTCTCTCTCCTTCCTTCCTCCTTTCCTCCCTCCCTTCCTCCCTTCCCATCCATCTATCCATCCCATAAAATTACACATCAGACTTCTCTTTCTCCAGGTAGAGATAAAAATCAACCCCAGTGATTTACGGATTGATACATTTCGAGCCAAAGGTGCTGGAGGGCAGCATGTTAATAAAACAGACAGTGCGGTTAGAGTTGTACACCTCCCTACAGGTATTTTTTTTTATCATTTCCTTATTTGCGTAATGTGTATAAATATCAATCCAATTCAACGTCCTAGCTTCTAATATTCTTAATAGGTGACTTTTTCTCTCTCTTAGACCTTAAGGTTTGCTATACTCCTTTACTTTTATTGTTCATCGCCTACATAAAATTTAACCTTTTGCTTTTCCCCAAGTTACGTTAAGACCAACGTTTTTGCCATGCTTCCTGATACAAAAAATACAATTCGATGGGAGAGGAAAAAAAAGGGATTTTTAAGCCCAAAGTAAAAGATATATAAATGGCAGATTTCATTCACCCTGTTTATGAAAAAGGACTTTGGGGTCAGGGGTGGGATGCAAATATGTTTACTACCGGTTCTGTGGGCGTGGCTAGGTGGAAGTGGCTAGGTGGGCATGGCCATGTGACTGGGTGGGCATGGCTTATTTTTGCAATACACACACACACACACACACACACACACACACACACACACCTCGTGCATGCCCCTTCTTGCCTCCTGGGTGAAGCAGTAAGATAGCAAGGGGGATCCCGGCACAGCTGATCGTCAGAACAGCTGGTCATCAGAGGGAAAAAAAAGAAATATTGGTTCAGCCGAACCAGTAGCTTTTTTTTTACTACCGGTTCGCTTGAACCGGGCCGAACCAGTAGGATACCACCTGTTGTGGTTAGCCGGCGGCAGGTGCGGACGGCTGAGGAGAGCGAGGCCTCAGATGAGGGGCCAGGACCATTAGGGAGTGGACTGCTGCCTTCAGAGATTGTGGGCGCTGGCAGCAGCGATGAGGAGGTTCCCGAGGAGCCTGTGCCAAGTGTGCGTGCACACAGGATTGCTCGGAGGAAAGAGCAGCTGCAGCAGCACAGGTGACTCAGGAGTAAGGCTGCAAGGTAATGGCCCCTCCTTCAAGAAGATAAAAGCCAGCTGTGAAACGAACGTACTTTGCAGAAGGCAAAGACGTTTTGAAACTCCAGCCTCGTGGACATTCCAGTATCCCGAGTTTGTGTTTGAAGATTCTTATTTTGCAAGAAATATTTCTTATTGCTTGTCTGTTATCTTTTGGCAAGTCTTGCAGAGTTTGGCAAAGCTTTTAATTATCACAGCTAATTATTTTGTAAAAGCATTACAAGGTTTCTGTTCCTTTTGGATTGTGTTTGATTTGTTGGAAAAAGGCGTGGGTCAGAACACCACCATTGTTTGGGGTGTTAATTAAAGGGCAGAGTTAGTCTTGTTATCTCACCGGTTTGCAAAAATTCCTTGGTGGATGTCTGTGGGATCCTTTCTTTTCTTTGGAAGGGATCATGGTGGAATGCCAGCAGGACCGATCCCAGTTAACAAATAAGGAAACAGCGTTGCAAACCCTGAGAGAGAAGCTCTACCTACAGACGGTCATGAAAGACATAAATGAACAGCAAAGTACAAGGAAACTGCAGGTAACGAGGGTATTTGTAGCTCAGGGTTGAACCATGGAATCCTTGAGAGGGGGGTGGTCTCTGAGTTTGCTTGTTTTCTCGCAGACGTTTCATGACCCAACTAGGTAACATCATCAGTGCTAGAAGGGAGAAGGGTTTGCAGAGGAGGAGGATTCTGAGCGTGATTGTTTCCTAGATGATGTTTCATGACCCAGCTACATCACATCATCAGTGTTAAAAGGATGTGGGGTTTGCAGAGAGGAGGAAGAGGGAGACTGTGGGTTCCTTGGTGCTTGGTGGTTTTCTTGCAGACGTTTTATGACCTAACTAGGTAACATTATCAGTGCCATAGGGGGATGGAGAGAGGAGGACGGGGATGGGGAGGAGAGGAAGAGGAGGACAACAACAATTGTAAGCTCCTTAGTGCTTTCTGAGCCTGATGGCTTTCTCGCAAACATTTCATGACCCAACGAGGTAACATGATCAGTGCTGAAAGCGAGTGAGGTTTGCAGAGTGGAAGAGAAAGATAAGGGAGAAGGTGATGTCCTTGGTGCTCCTGAGCTTGGTAGTTCTCTTTGCAGACGTCTCCCTACCAAACTAGGTAACGTCATCAGTGCACATGCTGAGATGAAGAGGCTCATTTGACTCCGTAGAAGTGAGAGAGAAGGACACAGGGCAGCTTTGCTTCGGGAGAGTACATGCTTTGTAAGGGCCCTAGTCAGCCTCATGTAGTCCAAACCAGATGCACACCCAAGGATTGTGCGGTGCGTTCCTGGTCCTGCCCCGTTCCAACTCACAGTGGCAAATGCCCAAACTCGTCTGTATGTTTTTCTTCCTGGCCATAAGACTGTTCTGACTTACGCTTCCCAAGCTCATGAAGCCGACTCCTCGTCCCGAGAAAACCCCTTTTATTGATGTTCAGAGTTTTGCAGTGTTAATTCAGCGCCACAGAAATAAACATAGATGGCTTATGCTTCATTTAACATCTTTATAAACATTAATAAGTAGATTTTACAAGCCAGTTGTAGATTTCTCCAACACGGAGCAAACTCGGACAGAAACATGTTGCAAGTAACTTCAGTAGCACAGAGAACAGAGGGAACCTCCAGTTTCACTTTAGTTCAGCAAGCAAGCAGAGGAGAGAAGCAGTTTCATTTCAATAGATAGACTCAGAGCTCAACATAGCTGCAGAGCAGTATAGAACCACCTCTGGACTACTTCTAGTTTCAGTTTCCAGCCTAGGCTACTCATTGGCTGACTTAGTTGTTATGCATATTCATTGGCTGATCAAGCTCTATTCCAGTGCATGAATATACTCTGACAATTTAGGTTAAAGTGAATTCCTCTCCAGCACAGTCCCAGCCAGCAGTCTTTCAAGAGATTTCACAACAGGCATGGAGAGTTGCCAGGCCAATATCTTCCAAACGCCACATTGTAACAGACAATACTTGGCAAGAAGTCAGAAACAGATCTTCACCCTAATGAATTGAACTAATTGTCTCCTGCAAAGCCCACTCCCCTTTTGTTCCTCTTTATTCCCTATGGGAGGGGCCATTCACCGTCCACCTGTGGCTTTACTCCCAAGTCGACCCTTGTTCCTTAGCTGTTCCCTTCTCCTGGCAGCTCTGTGCATGTGCACACTGGGAACAGGCTCCAGCTGTTCTTCTTCCCCACTGATCTCTGACTCCAAAGGCAGCTGATAACTATTGGATGACCATGGCCCCATCTCTGCCTCTGACGCAAAGCCCTCGTCAGAGCCTTCCCCAGACTCTGGGACTGGCCCATGTTCCTCCTCAACCTCCTCACTGTCCGAGTCTGCCACCAGCTCCACTGGTGGCCCACAACAAAGACAGGCGAAAAAGTCATTCCTCATTTGGACTCCTTGCAACTGGGCTGAAATGTGAAGGTTTATTACAAGAAACTAAAAATGGCAAAATCCGTGGTGGAACACGCTACACAAAAGATTTGTCTGATAATTGTGTGTTAACAACTGTCTCACTGTTTCTTCTTTCGCAGTTAGGGTCAAGATCCCAGTCAGAGAGAATTCGCACGTACAACTTCAACCAAGATCGGGTGACTGACCATAGGATCTCTTATGAAGTCCGCGATATCAAGGTATTAATTCTAAAATAGGTGGGCAGATTCGTTTCGGCAACCAGTACCAGTTGTAGTTTATCCAAGGTACTACAAGGCTACATTTGAATTTATTACCCCTTTTTTCGGATTTTGGGGGTGCTTTTAAACATGGCCTTAATTCAAAAGGTAGGCCAGAACAGTTGCACTGACAAACATTTGCATGAGCCACTGATAAACAGAATAACGAAGTAACAAGGGACCTTGGAGGTCTTCTAGCTCAGGGGTCGCCAACCTTTTGGACCCCATGGACCCCAAACTCATAATTTTAAATCCTGGAGACCACTAATATGAATGTTGACTGACGGTGGCTTGCTGACGTTGGTGGGAGAGAAACAGAGAGAGATCTGATCTAACCTCTCTCTCTCCCCCTCTCCCTCTCTCTCACACACAGAGGCAGGGGTGGGATTCAAATTTCTTAACAACCAGTTCTGTGGGCGTGGCCTAATTTGTGGGTGTGGCATGATGGTCATGTGACTGATGGGCATGGCTTGTATGTAAATATTATAAATATTTATGTAAATATAGAACTTTTTATAAAAAAAGAGCAACTTTTACCCAAAATCAGGCAAAGCAGGCAGGCAGATTGAGTTGCTCACAGAATCACATTCAGAGATCTATCTATCTGCCATCGGCTAGCTCAGTCTGTCACATAAAATTTGCTAGCAAGCAAACTCACAAAATTAACTCACAACACACCATGCATGTAAATATTGAATTTTTTAATTAAAAAAAAGAGAGCAACTTTTACCCAAAATCAGGCAAAGCAGGCAGGCAGATTGAGTTGCTCACAGAATCGGAGATTCACTCATAGATCTATCTTTCCGCCATCGGCTACCTGAGTCTGCACTAAGTAATAGAAGCTTCAGTCCTAAGGAAGGTCCAAAGATTAGCTAGAGAGCAAGAAATGCAACCATTTCCTGCTTTCTGGCTAATCTAAATCTCCCAGCACAGCAGAACAGCTGATGGTCAGGAAAAAAAAAAAAAAGGAAAAATAGCAACTTGGCAGCCAAGTTTGCCGGGTAAGGAGTGAGTGGGCGGGGAAGGTTCCCGCGGGCCATGTGGGTGGCACAGCCTTGGGTTCCTGCGCAGCCTGGATTAATTGCTTTGGGGGGTGCTCTGGGAGTGAGATTTCTCTGCGGACCACCAGTGGGCCGCAGACCACCAGTTGGCGACCACTATTCTAACTCCCCCTTCCGCTCAAACAGAATACCCTTGTGCCATTCCAGACGAATGGTTGTCCAATTTCCTCTTAAAAACATCCAGTGTTGGAGCACCCACAATTTCTGGTGGCAGGCTGTTCCATTGATTAATTGTCCTCACTGTTAGGAAGTTTCTCCTTAGTTCCAGGTTGCTTCCCTCCTTGAATAGTTTTCATCCTTTGCTTCTTGTCCTCCCTTCTGGTGCTTTGGAGGATAACTTGACCTCCCCCTCTTCTTTGGGGCAGCCCCTCAAATATTGGAACAAGCTTTTTTTCAAGCTTCTGATGGGTCGGATGTAAACGATGTAGCTGCTTTAAAGAGTCAATTCATTAAGAGTTATTTCGATTCTAAAGTGCAGCAACCGGGAAAGAAAAAAAAAGACGACCGCTCTGTGAGTAACAGAAAAGGATTGTCTTGTGATCTGAGGAGTGGCGCGGTCGCCCTAGAGGTGGAGCTCTAGCCTCACAATCAGTTCGATCCTAGGTAGAGGCAGGTATTTCTCTCTCTGGGCATGATGAGAATGTATCCGCTGAACAAAACTCCTCACTGGTGACAGGAAGGGCATCCGGCCAGTAAACACTCTGCTAGCTCCATCCAGTTGGTCAGACTCCACCCCACAAGGGATTGCAGGGTTGTTAAAGGATGATGATGATTGTCTTGTGGTCTGAAGTGTTATGCTAAGAATTGACTTGCAGGAGGCAGCCAATGACTGGTTTTTTTTGCAGCTGTTGTCTGCCTTCTAGTTGGCCAGGTAATGTTATAGCAGCACAAAAAATACAAATGTGAATAATTCTTCCCACCCCATCAGGTCTTGGCTGGGGAAGGGAGAGGACTTGTAACTTCACAGAGGAAGGAAAGTCACTGTAACATCTCAATTTTTCTAACAGGAAGTTGGAAAAAAAGGATTAATTGTGTAATGAATAATAGACGTACATCATAAGATCTGAAGGGAATCATTTCATAGCCTTCTTGGCAAGTAGATTTTGGAGTATTGTGCTGGCCAGATCTGTCCAGATAAACGAAGTTTACTTTGATTGTCTCTGACCACAGTAACTCCTCCAAATGTTTCTTTTTGTTCGGTAGGAATTTCTAAATGGCAAAGAACATCTGGATAATCTAATCAGCAGCCTGCTGGAGGCTTCGCAGATGAAACTTCTGGCTGAGCAGTTGGAAAACAATTTGAAATCTCTGCCGGCAGGCTCTTGAATGGATGAATGAACTTTTTTTTTTAAAAAAAAAGCCCTTGTTGGTAAAAAATTAAAGAGAACTATTGAAGAAACACTAGTCCCTTTGTTTAATTTTATATTTGGTTAACACGGTCTCTGAGCATTTTCCAAATAAATAATCTACAATCCCCCCCCCCACCGCTGTATGTAAAACGTGCACATAACTTCACAAAGAAGCAATTTCATTTGTGTTTAGTTCCAATTGGATTATCAGAGAGGACAAACAGATTTACCAGAAAGTGAAATAAGAACAAAATCAATATCACAGCATCAGTATTTCCTATATTATTATTATTAACACGCTCTGATGCTAAGTTCTACTCTCCCTCCCCACCTGAAAAGAAATCTGTTCCAACTGCAGTTGAGCTAAGCCACGCCCAGGCTCCTTGCTGTCTCGTCCATGCTCACACAGAAAATACTGTTTCAGTTTCCAAACCGCCCTCAACTCACTCACACACTGACAGGACGCTAGCCAGATGAATACCGATGGATGCTAGTAGGCAGAGGCAGAATTCTCCCCCCCCCCTTATTTTCCTCCCCCAAAAGTTGCCCGATCACATAGTTTTGTAGCAAAGCACGGATACACTGCTAGTAGTTTATGAAGACTGCTGGAGGACGTAACTCATACGGGAACCTAATTCCCTAGAGAACACATATTATTGGAAGCTATCCTCCAGTCTGCATTTTGTACAGTACATGCACAAAACAAAGAAAGGAAAAACAAGCCATATTCACAATGGCTGTAAAAACAATTCCAGCAAATTTATTGAGCCAATAATCTGTAATAAGTTAATCAAAGGTCACACAAAAAAAGTACAGATGTTCACTCCGTGAATATAAGGAAAAGGGATGGATAAAAATGGGAGTCAGTAGAGAAAGAAAAATAAACGTTGGTTTGATTCTGAAACCTGGATGGTCCTAGTTGTTTGAATACAGCTAATCTTAAACTTAGAACAATTCATTTAGTGACTGTTCAAAGTTGCAACGGCACTGAAAAAAGTGACTTATGACTGGGAAACACTCACTTCACAAGTGTCTCATTTAGCAACCTGAATGCTGGGCTCAGTTGTGGTTGCAAGACTATCTGTGGAGATACGAGTGCAAAGCCTTTTACCTGGAACTCACTTTGTTGCCTTGGCAGATTTTGCTAAAAATTTAGGTTAAAAAAATGTCTCCAGGATGCAAGAGGCCAAAAAGCAGTGGAATTAATTGTACACACACACACTCCACATTTTAAATTTAAATTGTATACAACACACTCCTGAGTCTTAAATGTAAATTTCATTTCAGGGTGCTTCTATTAAAACCGACAAAGCCCAACTGTGTTGAATCTGTTGCGTTAAATCTATCAGAAAGCTTACAGCTTCTCCCAAACCCTAATTAATAAGGATTTCATTTTAAATTACTTTGCTGGGTTTTTTTTTGTTTCATTTTTCTTTTCAAAATCATTTCAGGCCGCCTGCATTCAAATTTTAAAAAAGTTGAGAAATCCAATAGCAGTGGATCGTACAGAAAGATCCGGACAACGGCGTAGAAAACGGATTTTTTTGTTTCTCCAGTTGCAATCTTGGTCATGTTTATTCTTTCCTATTCTTAACCCCAAAGGTGCTTTTTTTTTTCAGGAGGCAACTGGACTTTCTGGTTTTTCTCTGAAGACGTTTCGCTTCTCATCCAAGAAGCTTCCTCAGCTCATCCAGGTCATGGTTGTCCCCAAAGCACCTTTGGGACCCACCCATGGCCTGGATGACTGAAAATCTCCATAGACATTTCCCATAAAAGAGGACCTGACCTGGGGTGTTCATATTGCAGCCCTGGTCAAAAGGGCCCAGCAGTGATTATATACCTGAGGCTTCTCAGGAAACAACAACTGAATGAAAAACTGCCGGTGACCTTCTACCGCTGCACCATAGAGAGTATCTTAACTTACTGCACCTCTGTATGGTTTGCCAATTGCACAGGGGCAGATAGGAAAGCACTCCAGAGGGTTAACGTCAATGCCCAGAAGATCATGGGTTGTCCTCTCCTCTCTTGGGAAGAGTTTTATAGCTCTTGTTGTCAACTCATAAAATATTTATCTGGTCTTTTTAGAGTTGCCAACAGAAAGAAAGGGGGGAGCAGTGCAGGAGCTTGCAAAACCAAAAGTGCATTCCATAAATGTTTTCAAAGATAGTAACTAGGTGACTGAAATTTCTGCCAAGCAAAATTCTAACTGGGAGAGCATGATTGATGACTCTGGGCTATGGATGTGTCCCATTGGAGAATATGAATGATGATACACCCAGGGGGGTGGGGGAAAACCAGTGTTAAGGGTGACAATGAATGATGTATCTCAGAATCGGCTACACCCAGGAATTGCCGGACATGTTAACTCCCAATAAATCCTTTTGAAGGTTTGGAAGTTTGGCTTGAGGCTCAGGATTTAAATGGGGTAACTGACAGAATCTTGACACCCGTTGCCTTAAGAAAGTCCCAAACATTCTCAAAGATCCACCTCATCCTGGGAACCCCTTTTTTTTTTTAAACTATTACCATCTGGCAGACAGTACAGGACAATAAAAACAAGGACAAATTGGCTGAAAAACAGCTTCCATCCCAGGGCAGTAACTCTATGGAATTCTACTGTAGAGTGCAATATGAATGCAATATCAGGGGTTTCAATTCAATTGTATAGAATGTGAAGGAGGCATGTTTGTATTTTATTTTCATGGTCATGATATACACTGAAGATGGTATTTAATTTCACTGTACGAAGTGCAAGGACAACAAAGGAAACTCAACTATTCTTCACTTTTGAAAAGAGCCTGGCTGAGCTTGGCTCAGCTCTTGATGGAAGGATTTACCTATGAGTAAGCTGGTTAATTTTCTTGAGCCGCTCCTTGTTGTTCGTCGTCTTATACACGGTGATGAGGAAGGGGAATGCCGACGGCAGCTCCACCTTATCGCTCAACTTCTGATGGCCCCAGTGAAGGCAACGGAGCTTCTCGGACAAATCCTGCCGTCCTGATTTTTCCAAAGCCCCTTGAAGCAATTTGGTCTTGTTTGCTTTGTCCCACGATCGTTCGTACCTGGATAGGGGTGGCCAGCAGATCCAGAAAAAAAAATTGCAGAAGGAAGCAGGTGCCCAACCGTTCAACTTGTCTCTGTATTTATTTTTATTGATTTGATTTGATTTCGGAAATTGACACTGCCGCCTATTTGCACACGGCATTTAGTTTTGTTCTTCTCCCCAGGTCTTTGGGCCTTTTGCCGTTTCAAGTTATCCTCGCTTCATTCTAAGAAAGGAGAATATTTGTAGCTCGGGGTTGAAACGAGGGGTCCTCGGTGCTTTCTGGGCTTGGTGGTTTCATTGCAGACATTTCATTGCCTAACTGCCCTGTTTCCCCAAAAATACAACCTACCCTGAAAGTAAGTCCTAGCTTGATTTTTACACGTGCGCCCAATATAAGCCCTACCCCCAAAATAAGCCCTAATTAAGATCCTGCCCACTCCAGAGGGTACGGGTAAAAATTAAGCTAGGGTGGAGATGGGGTGATGTAGTAGCTGCCCTACTATTTACCTTTGGACAGTTGTAGCCAGGCCTCACACACCCCCGACACCTGCCTTGGGGGCCCATTTCTTCTGCAGCTGGCAAAGCTGGCCAGGCTTTCCTGAAGGCCTCTGGAGCTGAGAACAAAGCCGCGGATCGATCCTGAGCTCTGTCATCGGTTGCAGAGGCCTTCAGGAAAGCCTTGCCGGTCGCAGAAAAAGTTGCTGAAGGCCTCCGACAGCAAAAAGGAGGCCGGGAGCGATGCACGTGAGTGAGGTGAGTCAGTGGATGACATCTACCGAAAATAAGACCTGGTGCCTTTTTTGGTGGTCAAAAATAAAATAAAATAAGACAGAGTCTTATTTTCGGGGAAACACCGTAGGTAACATCATCAGTGCTAGTAAGGCAAACCTCACTGTATGCTAGCACTGATGATGTTACCTAGCTGGGTAATAAAATAAAGAAAATAACCAAGCTCAGAGAGGACCCTACAGCCCTCCTCCTCTTCTGAAAATGATTACATCTCAGGCATAATCCTTTTCTCAGCTTACAATATCCCCATGGCTTCTTCCTCAAGATAATTAGCAAAGTAGAGAGAACTGGATTTATATTGATGGCTTCCGGGTTGGTTGAGCAACGAACATTCTTCCATGTTCAAAATCACTATATTCCTCTACTTACTCCCTTCTGGAGCTAATTTCTTTTAATCAGGTCAAGCTTTCCACATCTGGAATATTTGAAAAGGCCGTTCTCTGTTTCTAAGGCAAGCTGGTAAAATCAGAGAATTTAAAAAATAATAATAATAATGTAAAACCGGGCGATACCTTTCCAAGGTTGATTTTCTTTCAAAGAAGTAACAAAGGACCTGTGAAGCATAAACTCAGAAATGGAGAACTATGAGAGGAGCCCTCAGTGCTCTCTCAGATCGGCTGTCTTTTTTGCAGACGTTTCATTACCCACCTAGGGAACATTACCAGTGCCAGAAGCGCGGGTGGGAGAGGAGGAAGAAGAGGACTGTGGGGTCCTTGGGGCTTTCTGAGCTGGCTTATTTTCTTGCAGATGTTTCATGACCCAACTAGGTAGCATCATCAGTGCTAGTAAGGCAAACCTCACTCCTTACTAGCACCGATGATGTTACCTAGGTGGATCATGAAATGTCTGCAAGAAAGCAACCAAATTCACCATCCATCCATCTATCCACCCACCCACCCATCTGTTCATCGACTCACCCTTCCTTCCATCTATCCATCCATTCACCACCCATCCATCCACCTTTCCATCCATGCACCCACCCTTCCATTCACCCTTCCATCCATCCATCCATC